CACATACTCAAGCGTGTTTCAGCATATTGTACACAGCTCTCACGCTATCTATCACATTATGAAGTTTCCAATAACCATATAACTCATATCAGTCATAGTCGTTGTGTTAGTTTCAAATATCACTGTAAATTGCTTAAAGGCAGTTGTCCTGGATCTTTAAACAACATATGTGCTGAAGTTGAGAAAAAGTGTAATAATACTTCAGCTCAAACTAACGAACTTAATAATTTAATTAAGGCTTTTGGCGAAGGAATATCTAGTTATGATAAATGTTATAAAAAATTAACTCAAGAATGTAAAAATTTTACTGTGAAAAAAATAATGAATATATCATGCACTGACGTCAATAATACATGCAAGCATTTAGTGGATCATTTAAGGAAAATTTGTGATCATCTTGCATTAAAAATTTTTAAACTTTTATCTACTAATTTTAATTCTACTATAGAATGTCAGAAATCAATATCCTCATGTTCATTTATAGGGTCTTCTTGTAATGGAATTAACGACAAAATTACTCGTATATGTAACAACACTATAACTAAATGTAGTTCACCATCACCACCACCAGGACCACCACCACCAGTACCACGACCGCAGCCACCAAAACCACCACAACCACAACCACATCCACAGCCACCACCGCCACCACCGCCACCACCGCCACCACCAAAACCATCAGAACCAGAATCATCAAAACCAAAACCGAAACCGACAAACTCTACTACAAGTTTACCAACTACGAATTCATCAACTGCAGCTCCGCCAATTACATCAAGCTTGCCAACTACACTTATACCAACTACAAACACATCAGATATATACCCATCAACTACAAGCACATCTAAAACAAGTACATTAGATACAAGCACATCTACAGATACATCTACACGCACATCTACACGCACATCTAAAGGTACATCGACTACACGTTCATCAACATCCACGCGTTCAAGACCTAGACCAACAATGTCACGGGATGACTATGAAGAAGGTTATGGACTCAGAGCACAGAGATTACAAATGATAAAATTGATTTTGGAAATTGCAGGAATAATATTGGGACTATGGATAATTATTTAAAATTAAAACAATATATATTTACTAATATTTTTGTGGGGCATTTTGACGATAATTATGTAAAACTAATAATTATTCATAAGATTTATTTAAATATTTTTGGAAAATAAATATAGAAATTATTGTTTTGTGGGTATCAGACTAACTAATAAATCATAATTTTGGGCATTAATATTTAATGGTTAATCATAGTTTAAAAGACAATTTTTTCATTTTACAATCCATCTCTGGTAGAGCTATAGGACATATAAATACGACTGAATATATTGGATATATTTATTTGTTTATTCTCTAAAACTATTATCTCTTTTAAAAAACATCCTTTTTGTAAATTAACCTAACTTTTTGACAGTCAAAATTTAGATTTTAAGGATCAACATTTTTTATACTAAAAAACTATTTTGTATAATAGAACAAAATACCTTTAACAATCTTAAAAACATAATATCAATATAGAAAGAAAAATTAAAAAATACCATAAATTTAATAATATAAAATTCAAAGTATATAAAAAATTAAAAAGTTTAATAAATATCTAAATTTCCAAAACAAAACAATTTAAGAATACACAAATTTAGAAATAAAACTATAAGTCGTAAATTTAAATTGAAAATGAATTTCTTAAAACTAGTCAAATTGTATAAAATTTGTTAATGTAGAAAATATGCAAAAAACATGTATAAATAACTAAAAAAAATAATCTTAAAATAAAAAACTAATGAAATACTTGAAAACATCAATATTTTTTTAAAAATAATTACCATTAGTTAAAAAGTATTTTTATAATTTAAATTCTAAAAACAGCAAAAAACATAGAATACGAGAAACTATATAGTTTTGAATTTAGATTTTGACTTGATAAAACTAAATACAAAAAATAAGTAAAAAATAAAGATATGTAGAATAGTTTTAGACAAAAAATAAAATTGGAATAAAAAAATCTAAAATAACAATATTTTTTATAGATAAAAATATTGAATTAAAAAAATGAAAAATACGATAATCTTAAAAATGAGATTATAGCTAGTTTTAATAGAACTAGAAAATCTATTAATAATATTAACACATGTATATCGAATGAAAAATTTTATTTGAAAAAAAGCCACTATAACTATCATATTCAATGCATACTCTACCGAGAATTTTCTAATTTTTCTAATATCTATAATGATATAACAGAACAATACTATAAAAGTTTCCTACATAGTTTGCCCATATTTTTTTTTTAATTGCCTTTATTTTTTATTATCTCCTTTTATACTATACCTTTCACTTGTTAAGATTTACGATTACCCCAGATTTACCCCGGATTTACCCCGGATTTACCCCATACAAATTTAAAGCATCTCACGAAGAAATCAAGATACACTTGTAATGGACACACTAAGAATACGCTTAGCACACGTTGCTTGTCTGACAAGTTTTGTCACTGAATTTACTTGAACTCCCTTAAAATTAATTAAGGATAATTTAATATTCAAATTTGAAGACATGATTCTAACATCTCACATGAAATCAAAACACATTAACGGAAACTCAAACTCAGCCACACACCACAGCGCAGCCCACCTCCGTCAGGCACAGCTTGGCGCGGGCGGTGGCGCGGGCGGTCAAGCGGCAGGTACAAGCAGTGCAGAAAGCTAGTGTATATGATGATGATGAAATTCTTTTGGCTTTGGTTTTAAAAGAAGATGGATTGGAAGATGCAAAATGCAAAGAAAAACTGAAAAAATATTGTGAAAACTTAAAAGAAGCAAATAAAGAGTTAAATAAAATCTATCCAAAACTAAAAGATATCTGCAAGGATGAAGACAAGAAGTGCACAAGTATAAAAGCTAAAATTACAAAAAAATGTCAAACACATAAAGCAACCTTAAATTCTATAGTATCAAAAGCATTAGGAGAAAATTATGATTGTAAAGAGGATGAACGACAATGCCTATTTTTGGAGGAAGCATGCCCTGATGATCTTAAAGAAAAATGTACTGACTTAAGAAATAAATGTTATAAGAAGAAGCGGGATGAAGTAGCAAAAGAAGTTCTTTTGAGGGCACTTCGTAGTGATCTCAATGAAACAGAGACATGCAAAAAAAAACTAAAAGAGATTTGCCCAGTCTTGGGGAGGGAAAGTAATGAGTTAACGGACTCGTGTTTGAACCAGAAAGAGACATGCGAGAATATTATAAAAGAAAGAAATAAGAAATGTGATACTCTTAAAACAGATGTTAAAACAGTACTTGGAAGTTTTAAAAAAGAAAAATGTCTATCATTACTTGAAGAATGTTATTTTTACGTTGGAAATTGCCAAGAAGACGATATAATTGAATGTATTAAATTGGGAGAGAAATGCCAGGAACAAAACATTGTTTATATACCACCAGGACCCGATTTTGATCCAACTAGGCCAGAGGCTACACTAGCAGAAGATATAGGACTGGAAGAACTTTATAAGAGGGCAGAGGAGGATGGTGTTTTTATTGGAAGACAACAAGTAAGAGATGCGACAGCTTTGTTGACGTTGTTGGTTGAAAAAGATACAAATGTTAAAACAAAATGTAATGAAGTTCTTAAAAATAAATGCAAAACCCCTCATGAACATGAAGCCTTAGAAAATCTGTGTAAAGAAAATAATCTAAGTAATGATGGAACGAAAAAATGTGATGAATTAGAGAAAGATATCAGAAAAACATGTGATATTCTCACGTCAAAGCTTACAAATAATCATCTTTTTGACTCAAAAAAAGGAAGTAATGGAATTATTGGATGGGGAGGATTACCAACATTTCTTAGCAACGAAGATTGTGCAAAATTAGAGTCCTATTGTTTCTATTTTGAAAAAAAATGCCAAGATGGCGAAAAATCATGTGCGAACGTAAGGGCAGCGTGTTATAAGAGAGGGCTTGATGCACGGGCAAACAATATATTGCAAAAAAATATGCGAGGGTTATTGCATGGCTCAAATAAAGATTGGCTTAAGAAATTTCAACAAGAATTAGTAAAAGTATGTGAGAAACTGAAAGGAAATAAAGGAAGTTTCTCAAACGATGAATTGTTTGTTCTGTGTATACAACCAGCAAAGGCAGCACGATTACTTACACATGACCATCAAATGAGAGTTATCTTTTTACGACAACAATTGGATCAAAAGAGAGATTTTCCGACAGATAAAGACTGCAAGGAATTAGGGAGAAAATGCCAAGATTTAGGAAAGGATTCAAAAGAAATTACGTGGCCATGTCATACACTGGAGCAGCAATGCAATCGCTTGGGGACTACAGAAATTTTGAAGCAGGTTTTACTAAATGAACACAAGGATACTTTGAAAACTCATGAAAACTGTGTAACATATTTAAAGGAAAAGTGTAATAAATGGTCTAGAAGGGGTAATAATCATTTTTCTCTTGTATGTGTCTTCCAAAATGCTACGTGTAAGCTGATGGTAGATGATGTGAAAGATAGATGTGAAGTATTCGAAAAAAATATAAAAGCATCAGAGATTGTTGGATTTCTTAAAAATAATACAAATAACATAACAACATTAGGAAATGTTTGCCCATTTTGGGACCCATATTGTGACAAATTTTCACCTAATTGTCTAGATCTTACGAAAGAAAATACTCTTTGTACAAAGATCAAGAAGCATTGTGAACCATTCTATAAAAGAAAGGCCTTGGAAGACGCTCTCAAAGTAGAGCTTCGAGGAAAATTAGGTGATCAAGATAAATGCAATTTGGCACTAAAAGGATATTGTACACAATTAGAAAAATTAAATAATGAATCTATCAAAAGTTTATGCAAAGCTAACACCAAAGATAACCCTAAAAAGAGCAACAAAGATGCTAAAAAGGAACTCTGTGAGAAATTAGTGGAAGAAGTAAAAGAACAATGCAAAACATTACCAGCAGAACTAAAACAACCAGCAGACAATCTAAAAAAAGATGTTAAGACATATGAGGAACTTAAGGAAGAGGCAAAGAAAGCAATGAACAAGTCCAGCCTTGTTTTATCACTCGTTAAGAAAGACGGAAATAATACACCGAAAAATAATAGCAAAAGCAAAGATAAGAATAACGTTTCAAACGGACTTCAAGATACCACAAAACATGTGAAAATACTACGGAGAGGAGTTAAGGATGTATCCGTAACAGAATTAGAAGCTAAAGCATTTGATTTGGCAGCAGAGGTATTTGGAAGATATGTAGACTTGAAAGAAAGATGTAATAAATTGGAATCAGATTGCGGAATTAAGGAGGATTGCAAAGACTTAGAAGAAGTATGCAAAAAGATTAATAAGGCTTGTCGCAATCTGAAGCCTCTGGAGGTGAAGCCGCATGAAACAGTGACAGAAAGCACAACGACGATCACGACGACAACAACGACCGTTGCCGATCCGAAGGCAACGGAATGCAAATCCTTACAGACAACAGACACATGGGTTACACAGACATCAACACACACAAGCACGTCTACCATCACATCTACGATTACATCAAAAATAACACTCACATCAACGAGGCGTTGCAAACCAACCAAGTGTACGACAGGGGATGATGCAGAGGACGTGAAACCGAATGAGGGATTGAAGATGAGTGGGTGGAATGTGATGAGGGGGGTGATAGTAGCAATGGTTATTTCGTTCATGATTTAGAAAGCAAATGAGCAGGATTTAATGATGAGCATGTATATTTACTAGATGAGCAAGCAGGGTAGGAGAGGAAAGAGTAAGGTAGATTGAGTCATCTCTTCAGCATCAATTGAAAGTGCATTATACATAAAATAGCGTGTCCCCTATCTAATTGGCCACTATTCTTTGTCTAAATAGCCTTTATTTCAGTATATACTGTTTTTTTATCATTTATCGCCACTGATTGATTTTTACGTTTATCTCGCGTTTACCCCACATTTTACCCCACATAAATTTAAATACATACTAAGCACGTATCATAATAATTCTATGGACACACTAAAGATATACTTCAGCACACACAGTGCTTCTTTGACAAGTTTTGTCACTAAGTTTACTTGAACACCCTTAAAATTAATTAGAAATAATTTAATACTCAGATTTGAAGACATGGCACTAACACCTTGCATGCAACTGAAACACGTTAACGGAAGCTCAAACTCAAACCACGCCACAGCGCAAACCCACCGCCGTCAGGCACAGCTTGGCGCGGGCGGTGGCGCGGGCGGTTAAGCGGCAGACACAAGTGACGCAAGGAGTGCAAAGTGTATATGATGATGAGGAGTATCTTTTGGCTTTAATTTTAAAAGAAGACACAATGGTTGAATTACAATGCAAAGAAAAACTGAAAAAATATTGTGAAAACTTAGAAGAAGCAGATAAAGAGTTAAATAAAATCTATCCAAAACTAAAAGACATCTGTAAGGACAAAGAATGGGATAAAAAGTGTACAGGATTGAAAAATAAAGTTACAGGAAAATGTACACCACTTAAAACAGCTTTGGATAAGATAGTATTAAAAGCCTTAGAAGAAAATTATGATTGTAAGGAGCATGAACGACAATGCCTATTTTTGGAGGGAGCATGCCCTAATGATCTTATAGAGAATTGTAACAAACTAAGGAATCTATGTTACCAAAGAAAACGTGACGGAGTAGCAGAAAAAGTTCTTTTGAGAGCACTCGGAGAAAATCTTGAAAGTGAAGACAAATGTAAAGAAAAACTTAAGCAAGTTTGCTTAGAGTTAAATGAAGAAAGTGACGAGTTAATAAAATTATGCCTTAACCAAGTGGAGACATGCAAGGGACTTATGACTACAAAAGAGTATACGTGCCAATCTCTCAATGCTCTCAAAACAGAGCTGGAAAAACCAAAAAGTAATAAATTGCAAGAAAAATGCCTATTATTGCTTGAAGGATGCCACTTCCATTACCAAAGCTGCAAAATAGGGAAACAGAATTGTGATAACTTGAAGAAAAAATGTAAAGATACAGGGATAACTTATCTACCGCCAGGTTTAGATTTTGATCCTACAAAACCAAAGATTACTCTAGCAGAAAAAATAGATCTGAAAAAATTGTATCTGGAAGTAGCAAAGAAGGGTATTTATATTGGAAAGCCATCAATAAAAGACGAAGCAGCTTTATTGGCATTATTAAGCAAAGATAGTACTCAATCTATTTTTAAAGATCAATGTAAAGATACTATTAAAAAAAAATGTGGAAACTTTGAAGAGCATATTATTTTAAAAGATTTATGTAATAATAAAAGTATCATTGGCAATCCAGAAGAAAAATGCAAAGAATTAGATAAGGAATTAACAACCCGTGCTTCACTTGTTTCTGAAAAGATTGGGAAATATCTTGCTACAGCTAATGTAAAGGGAATCATTGGTTGGCATATGTTGTATACATTTCTTGGTGAAAAAGTATGCGCGAAACTGTTATCAGATTGTTTTTATTTAAAAGGTCAAGGTCCTCTTGATAAAGAATGTGATAATTTAAAGGCAGCATGTTATAAAAAAGGGCTTGAGTCACAAGCAAATGAAGCATTACAAGATAAGTTACAGGGGAAGTTACATGGATCAAATGGAACATGGCTTGTAGAGCTTCAAAAAGAATTAGTAAAAGTGTGTAAAGGGTTGAAAGACAAAAGCGATGAACTATTTGTGTTATGTGCGCAGCCAAAAAAAGCTGCTCTTATACTTTCAACAGATTTACGATTTAGAGCTATTTTTCTACGGGAACAATTAAACGAAAAGCGAGATTTTCCAACGGAAACAGATTGTAAAGAATTAGAAAAAAAGTGCAGAATACTAGGACAAGATTCAAGCGAAATTAAGTGGTCATGTCTTACATTAAATCAGCATTGTGACCGTTTAAGAATTGCAGAACAGCTAGAAGAATTGTTATTGAAGGAAAAGACAAAAGACTTAAAAGATCAAATAAAATGTAAAGAAAGCATCAATAAACGATGTAATGATTGGGTTAAGAAAAGAAAAAATTTGTTTACTCTTGCATGTCTTGAAGAGAATATTACTTGCCAGATTATTACAAAAAATCTTGAATCCAAATGTAATGCGTTGAAAGAAAACATGGAAACCCGTAATGCTTTGACTAATGCAGCTGATAACAATATGAAGGAAAAAACTTGTAAGTTTTGGACACCATATTGCGAAAAGTTCACTCCAAGTTGCAAGAAGTTAATAGAAGAAAAAAGCGGAGAGAAGAATGGGCTTTGTTCACAACTCAACAAAAAGTGTGAATCGTTCTTTAAAAAAAGAGAGCTAGATGATAAAGCGATTGATGGGTTAAAGGGTTATCTAACAACGAAAGAAGTGTGTGAAAAAACACTTGAAAAATATTGCGTACCATTAAATAATGCAACTAATGGACTTGAAACTCTGTGCAAAAGCGATGATTCTAGTAAAGATGAAAAAACAGTAAGAGGAGAGACTTGTAAGAGGCTGGTTGAACAAGTACAAGAAAAATGTCCAAACTTACAGAACGAACTTACAAAGGCCAAAGAAGAGCTAAAAAAAAAAGAAAAAGAATACAAAAATCTTAAGAAAGAGGCAGAAGAAGCGATGAAAGAAGCAAATCTTATTCTATCAAGAACAAAAGTATCAGGTGATAAGTCAGAAAATGGTACTGCATCTAATACATCCGCTAAAGGAAAAGACACCGCCCAATTTAGACTTGTAAGAAGAGATCAGAAACCAAAGGTAACAGAAGAAGAAGTAAAAGCGTTTGATTTGGTAGCACAAGCATTTGGATTTTATGTGGAATTGAGGGAGAAGTGTCAAGATTTATTAAAGGGATGTGGACTTAAAAAAGAATGTAGTTGTGAAGATCAATGTGAAAAAATAGAAAACACATGTAAAAAATTGAAACCACTAGAAGTGAAGCCATATGAAGTGAAGACAGTAACAGAAACCAACATAACAACGGTTACAGAAACAGTTAAAGAAGCAGAAAAAACAGTAGGAGACGGAGAGAAATGCAAATCTCTCAGTACATCAGATACATGGATTACACACACGTCTACGCATACCAGCACATCTACGACCACATCCACAGTCACATCGAGAATAACACTGACGTCGACAAGGCGGTGTAAGCCTACGAAGTGTACGACAGGAGAGGAAGATGAAGCGGGTGAGGTGAAGCCGAGTGAAGGGTTGAGGATGAGTGGGTGGAGTGTGATGAGGGGGGTGCTAGTGGTAATGATGATTTCATTCATGATTTAGATGTAAAATGGGAATGGGATATAAGAGCAGCATGTATATTTACTAGATAAGAAGGCAGGGTAGGAGAGGAAAGAGTAAAGTAGATTGAGTCATCTCTTCAGCATCAATTGAAAGTGCATTACACATAAAGTAGCGTGTTCCCAGTGCAAATAGCATGTATTGCCCGGATGAGTGGCCGCTGTTTGTTGTGCCATGTCGTTATCAGCGCATTCAGCGCCTACCCCGGATTTGCCCCACATGGAGTCGAGGTGAGATGCAGTGATGGAGAGATGATGGGATAGAACGATGGGGGGAGTGGAGTTGGGTGGGCGGTGTTTTTTATGTGTGTAGCGTTGAGGTTGATGAGTGGAGTTGAAGTTTGTGAAACTTGATATAGGCGTTGACAGAAGCGTTGACAGAAGCGTTGACAGAAGCGTTGACAGAAGCGTTGACAGAGGCGTTGACAGAGGCGTTGACAGAGGCGTTGACAGAGGCGTTGACAGAGGCGTTGACAGAGGCGTAGATATAAGAATTGATATAAGAATTGACAGAAGTTACTGTTTAGAAAGATTTCCATAGCGTATTTAAGCATTGCTATATAATGAGATCAAGATTGAAATAAAAAAAAAGAAATGTTTCAGAGATCAAGATGAGCTGTAGAGAGTGAGCTCGGGTGCCATTGGAAAAAATGAATGAAAAGGAAAGATGTTGAGGGGAGTAAGATAGAATATGTAGTTGAAATGAAAGAAGTGGTTTAAGGTGGGGGAAGATGAATTTTTTTGAAAAAGCAAAAGTAGGTGATAAGCTGGGAGGGGGAAAAGTGAGTGGATAAAAAAAAAGAAAAAAACAAAAGAAAAGAGTTTAGAGGAGTAGAAAGAGTGTTTAGAGTGAAGATGAGGCGTAGTGAAGGTGTTTTTGTGAATTCAATGAAAATAGATATAAGATAGATAGATGTAAATAAATGAATCATCAAGAAAGATTGAGTAAGAAATAAAAAGAATAGAATATAGAGGAGTGAATGTGTATAAGAATAG